AATAATATTTTGTTTTTATTAACTGAGTTTTGAGAAACATTATATAAAATAAAATGAGATAATGAACACTGTATAATTTCAAGGCAATATATGTATTTTTTTACAACTTTGCTAATCCTATGTCATGTGTCTCGATAAAATAGGAAAGAAAGAAATTCACAACTTGATCTTCATGAAAACTGGAGAAACTTCCTAAATAAAATGGAATAATAATATTTGTAGCATGCCTTAGAGTTTAGCAAAGTATGCTCAAATTCATTGTTTAGAATAGCAGCTCTCTGTAAAGTCTCCAAGAAAAGAAAAGAAAAAATAAGAAAAAATAAAAAAAAATAAAATTTATATAGAATTGTGAAAAAGCACTATCATATCAGGAACTGGAAAATCAGACATGGGAACTACAGACTGCACACAAGGAAAAGCAAAAATAAAAATAAAAAAAGCTACTTACAGTAAGAGTTACTGCTGCCCCAATGCAAAGCTTTTAATTTAATGGTAAAATTGGCCTAATGTGTAGCCTGGAAGCAAAGCAACTTTGATGAACAAAAATTTTAAACTATGTATATGTAGCTAAAATAATGAAAAATGTCATTTAAGTAGCATTAAGAATGAACTTTATGAATGCATACAAGGGAGACAAAAGAATGAAGAATCTTTACATATGCCTTAACTCCTTATTAATTGGTCACTTTTATCTTCCTACAGCTTTCCACAGTACTCTTAAACTACTGGGAAATTTTTCTAAATAATAAAGTACCTGGGAATATTTACTGAAGATCTATCATGTGTCAATTATATGATATTTAGCTACAATATACTTTGTATTTTAGTTGGAAAGGTAAATGAAACATATATATGGGAACATATGCAGAAAGACCCAAGAGAACATAAAAAATAAAAGCATGCCTTCCAAAATAAGAAGAGATCACTTGGAACTTCCTGTTCAAAAGAGACTGTACAAATAAAAAGTGTGGCTGGGTGGTGGTGATGCACGCTTTTAATCCCAGAACTCCGGAGGCAGAGGCAGGTGGGTCTCTATGAGGTCAGCCTGGGCTACAGAGTGAGTTTAGCCAAGGCTAAAACAGAGAAACTCTGTCTCAGAAAAACAAAAACAAATTAGAATTGGGTGTGAGCCAGGCATGGTGGCACTGGCATATGCCTTTAATCCCAGCACTCAGGAAGGCAGAGGCTGGCAGATCTCTGTGAGTTGAAGGCCAGCCTGGTCTACAAGCGAGTCCAGAACAGCCAAGGCTACATAGAGAAACACTGTCTTGAAAAAAGAATTAGGTGTGGTGGGGTGACATTTGAACAGAGCCAGGAAAAAAAAAAAAAAGACATTCAAGCAGAAATATACTAGCTTAAAAAAAAAATTGGTTTTAGGATGAGAAGGTCCTTTAAGGAGATCTGAATAATCAAGGAAGGCCACATTAAAAGGAACACAGAAATTCCATATAATAACGAAAGCTTATATGAAAAGTAGGAAAAGTTAACATTGAATGTGAAAGACTTTAAACTCCATATAGAAGAATTTGAAAAGCTTATATAAGCAATCCACAAATAAGGCCTTTTAGGAAAAAAAAAAAAAAGGTAACATGATAAACATATTTTTAGACATAGAGTGTTTAATATGTATTATAAATAGTATACATCTTCATTACAGCCATACAGAGAGAACCATGAAAATAAAGCACACTGAAGACATATGAAGAGGGGTAGGCTAGAACAAAACAGACTTAAGGAAATGTCTGCCCAAGATTATATTGTGGAAAACAAATAAAACACATCACATAGAACAGAGAGAATTAGGCAAAGGTGAGGTTCACAGGGCTTAAAACATTACTCTGTTTTACTCCCTCCATCATTACCATACTTATATGAAATTCAAATTACCCCATCACAGAACAAGATAAGTAATTGTACCAAATGATATATAAATGATGGCTTCACAAAGTTCAAGAAAGTATAATTGTTCTACTGTGCTCCAAAAGTATTTGAAAAATAAAAGCCACACAACTTATTAATTGCATTATTAATTCAAGAAAAAATTAACAACAATGCAGCAATATTACTGAATTAACTAGAAAAGTATGTGTTTCGACAGGCTGGAGCTGCAGTTCAATCTCTTCTCTAATCCTGACACACAAAATTCTCCTTGGCATCTCCTTTCCCTATCTTAAAGTATCCCTATATTCTCTTACTCCTCCCAAATGGTTCCTTACATCAAACTCCTTCTTTTCTCACTGAATTCACTCTCTCTTAATCTTAATCACTACTTACTAACACTTTATAACATTAAATATAAATATTTTAAAATCCTTTAACTTTCTTATAGTGCTTTGTCATCAAAATATTTATAAATTACCTTTTTATAATCCTCACAGAAAAAAAGTGCACAGCAGGTATTATCATCACCCACATATTATTGAGAAGCAGTAAGCCCAGGACACATTCATTAAGAGTTAGATCCAGGCCTACAGTGTGAGCTTTCTAAGCCTAACCTCCCTATTTTCTTCATTATATCATTGGGTTTCATACTGTATTTGTGAGCACAAATTGTTATTTAATATCATGTTTAAGTGAATGTATTTTAATAAGCTGCCTTGATGGTCAAGTATGTAATGCAGTGCCATTTACTAAATGAATCTAATTATTTTGAGTTGTCTGTAATGACTAAAATTATTACTGGATAAAAAGTGACAAGGAAATAGAATGTTAGTAAAATTGTTATTATACCAAAACAATTTTGTCTTAAATTCTGCAATGTAACATTTAACAACAAAGACAGCATGGGTGATTTAAGGATATGTGAGCATCAAAGGGCAAGAATAGGGCATTCCTACTCTCTTTAACTCTGGTAAAACCTCAATTGCTGATGTAGTTCAGAGCATCCTATTACCAGAGAGACATAAATCAGGAAGAGTTCAGCTAGGAGCAATAAAACAGATTAGCGTCTGGAAGGGCTAACTTTAAAGAAAGTTTTCAAAGAATTAAATCCAGGTAGTCTATGAGGCTAGTGCCCAGACCAAAGACAAGTTATTTTGAAGGTATGCATCTTTAAAATATACAGGTATCACTGTAAATATCTGAAGAATATTTAGAAAAAGAAAGTTCAGGAAAAATTTGCAGGCAAAGAGAAAAACTAAAGATAAGAGAAGTCACTCCCTCTGGCATGGTAAAAAAAAAAAAAAAAAGAAAAAAAAAACTATACTCTTATAGGTGTTTGATGCCAGGTTGGGTAGGGAGAAAAGTCCATCTGGGGTGATCCTACATTGACCCTGAGTAGGGGAAGGACTGAAAGTAAATAGACTTTTCTATTCTTGGGTTTGAGGGTTGCTTTTTGCTTTTTAATTTTAATTCTGTGAGGTTTCACAGACACAGTCATCTGCCAATTTCTTTTCTCCTCATGATGCCTACTTTCTCTTTTCATAAAGGTAAATAACCTGTATTCTTCTCTTTCATCAGAATCCACTGTGTTCAATGAAAGGTTAGCAGAATTTTAAATGCAAGATTTAAAGAAAAGTCCATTTCTAACATAAATTGTTTTTCCCCCTCCCAGCAATTTCTGAAGCTCTTACAAGTTTTTCCATAAGCTAAAGAGAAAATGGTCTTAATGAACTTGAACAAAAAGCATCTTTCAGGAAAACTATTAATATGCCCATCTCCTGTCTGATGCCAGAGCTGACAGTGACCCTAAGAGCTGAGACTATGGGTCAGCACCAAGGCTGTTACTGTTCAGACTGTCTTTTACCTTTCAGTGTCTCATGCTGACTGCTAGCAGATCTGCATGCAAATCACATTTTATAGCAGTGACTTTCACCTTTTAAAAAATGGATTCTTAAACACTTTCACTCTTGGTGCAAACTGAGTAAGTTTTAGGAATGTTTCAAACTCAACAAACTGTAGTCTTGCCCTTTGTCTACTCTGGCGCACACGCGCGCGCACACACACACACACACACACACACACACACACACACACACAAATTCCTCATTCAGTCCCAAAATTACAAAGATATCTCCTTGTTCAGGTGATTTATAAGAACAAGTTGTAACAAAATCCAGAAGACTCTGAAAACCTGTGCCCAGTTCTTTAAAATAATAATACTAACACTGTGAGAAGAAACTGTATGAGAGAGACACTCAACACACACACACACACACACACACACACACACACACACCAAAAAAAGAGACCCTGATGGCTCTTAGACAGCCTTTAACAGCACGAATGGTTGAAGATGATGCAATTTCCACCCATCTCTGAAAGAAATTTTATCTCTCTGGTTATACTGAAAATTTCATAGATATTAACAGTTTAAATATCATTTTCATTTATTTCTAATAAAAATAAAATTGTTCAAATTTAAAATAATTGGCCTCTCGCAGAGGAATAGAATTTGGAGTTTTCAAAGCCTTTGTAAGACTTAACTCATCTGATTCTGGCTGTAAAGAAAGCTGACATCTGCAATGCCACTGTTATACTGAAGAAAAACATATGACTGGAGTTTGGGCAGTCCAAAGAAGGGAAAAACCATGCAAAGATTTCCAAACCTTCCTCAACAGTGGAACAATCTAAAAGGTATTATTCCATTAAATTTTTGAACAGGTTTCAAAAAAGGTTAAATCTCTGTCTCCCATTCCAGGAAAACAAGAAACAAGACAAACAAAAGGTACATGTGCTTAGAATTTTCTTTAAAAAAAAAAAAAAAAAAGCTCTCAAACTAGCCCACAGAAATGTGGGCCTACAGGTTCCAAAATTTTGGAGACTCTACTGCCCAGCACAAAAGCAGACAGCCTGGACTGGACAACCTGGGGACCTCACTTTGCACAGTCACCTCAGGAGTCTCACACTCCCAGTGAACCCTAGCCTGCTCTGCTCCAAGTCTGCCCCTGCCCCTTACACACACACACACACACACACACACACACACACACACACACACACACGGCTTGATCCCACCCCCAAGTTCCTCCAACACTCAAAATCGGGACCAAATTTCTCACCATCCTCATAGTTTTTGAGATAGTAATCCGGGCCCGGGCCCCCGCGGCTTTTCGCCGGATTTCTCAGGTTCTGGAACTGCAGGAAATCAGTCCTTTTGCCCCCGAAGCGCAGAAAGGCGGGCGAGAGTCCCCGGGCCAGGGTCACCAGACGCTTGGAGCTGCAGGGGTAGAGAAAGAGAGAGGAAAGGATCCCGGGAGAAGGCTAGAGCGCACTGGTCAGGGAGCAGGGCCCCTTCTCACTCCCTGCAGGAGACCTGGCGGGAGATTTATTATCTAAACCACTCTAGCTTGCAGCCGAGCCGGCAGCCGGCTGCTCTGTGGCGTCTCCTTGTACCGGCTCTGCTGCCCGCTTTACCCTCAGTCTCTGAGTTCCCAAGGGCTGTTCTTCCTGACCCTGCTGGCCGCAGCTGCGCCCTCCCACCGACGCCTTGATGCCCTAAGAACCGGTTTCTAAAGGCTTGGAGGTAGATAGGTTTGTTCTGTGTGTTGGGGTAGGAGCACTTTTGCGGCGAACTTGAGGCCAAGGCGCAACTGGCTGGTTTCTGCCACTACCAGGAAAGCGCTTCTGGCACAGGCGCGCAAGGAGCGGACCGCCAGCCTCTGACGGTTGCCAAGCTTCCCAGCTGAAATCCGCGTTGCCTCCCTGGCCCCAAGGGCATAGTAACCTCCAAAATGGTAAAACTTGGCCTACTTTCTCTAAACCCAGGCATAGCACATAAAGTCAAGAGGTTTTTGTTTTTGTTTTTGTTTTTTAATGCCAAAACTGATTTTCCGCTTCTGTTACATTGTAACTGTGTAGCTTCCCAACTCTTCAGAGAGGTTCCCAGGATAAACCCTTGCCTTTCAGAGGATCCCCTCCCCAATCCCGGGTAAAACCTGTGTCTTTTGGTACTTAAAATAATTTGGTCTGATCTCAAGACAAAGAGCATTTTCCCATCACACACACACACAAACACACACACATACACACACACACACACACACACACACACACCCACACACACACACACCACTCTTGGCCCCAACTGGGGCTTTATCTTTCTTTTTCCTTGCGGTTTGGTAGCGCTGGGTTAGAGACAGTGGGAGAAAGAGAGAGAGGGAGGGAGGGACAGAGGGAGGGAGGGAGAGAGGAAGAGAGAGAGAGAGACGGAGGGGGAGGGAGAGAGACTGGCGAATTTTGGAACTTAAGCGTCGGGAAATTTTGGAGTACCAGACAGTAGCATTTGGGTCTACTCAATTTCAGCATTTCCATCAATAGGTTTTTAAAAACCAAAGACTGCTACTCTGGGAAGTAACTGGGAACTAGCCCGGCAGATTCTGTAAATGCTGAGGAAATCAGCTGTTGAGTGGAGTTCCGCGTCTACACAGTTTTTAACGCTTTGCTAGTTCAGGTCGTGAGAATCCCAATCAAAATGGTGACGTTAAAGAGTATCAAAAATGGAGGTGAATTCAAAGGGCACAGAAATAAACAAAAACTCCACTTTCAGATACTTTTTGGGACGATACACGTCTGCCCTGAGAGTTCCGCTGGCCCTAAGGTCTGGCTGAGCTCTCCAGGACCGAGCTGCAGGGCAGGCGCAGTTGAGGCGTCGCGTGGGCCGGCTGAGCGCAGAAAGGACGTCCGCGCGAGTGCGGCCCCAGGGAAACGCCGCACTTCCAACCTTCCGGATAAAGACTGCACAGCCAATGCAAATGCGCCCCGCCACGGCTTCTTCCCCGAAAAGCTGCCTTCCAGAATTGTTCTGCAGCAGGGAAATATTTAGCGCGAACAAGCTGACATTTTTAAGGAGGAGGAGGAAGAAACTCGGAGTCCGCGCAGCTGGAGGAGTGCAATGCAAGTGGGGCGTGCACTTAGGAAAACCTCTGTTGCACCCCACATTTGGATGAGTTCGAGAAGCGCTCTGCGGCACAGAAAAGCTTTCAAGGATGAAACCCGAGTGCAGCGCTCGCTGTTCCTGCCCCCCCCAGCAACTGTACCCTCTGGAACCCCGAAACGGCCTCGCAGTGGTGGCGGCGACCTCCGATTCTTTGGGCTGTGCTACCCCGACCTGGAAGCAGCTCTTGGCGCAGTGCCTACAGCTACCTGTTGCGTCTGCAGACCTGAGGCTGAGCGCTAAGGGGCGGGTGCACCCAGAAAAGCAAAACTCGAACTTCTCTGAGTGAAAAATGCTCACTAAAAGATGTGTGGGGGACGCAGCCTGGGATCTGGAACGAGATGGAAAGCACTCTAAGCTCTTTGAAAGCCCAAACTGAAGCTCCAGCTTGGAGGGAATTTTCAAAACCTTAACACCTGGAGTTCGCAGTCAGAGGTTTTTTTCTTTCATACTTTTTTTTTTTTTCTTTTTATCTCCAACGTCTCCCTCCCTGCAACTTTCCCTGGCTGGAAGGTATCGCGATTGCTCAATTGTCATAATAGTAACAACCAGGGAAGAGGGCGAACTCAACTGGAGTGCCAGGGAGTTCCAGCCTCCGGGTTTGCTAATCCGACACTGCCGGGTTCGGGTTCAAAACCCCCAAAGCTTCCCCTTGAGAGTTTCTAGGACCTTTATGGATCGAGTACGATATACACTACGACCTGAGCAACAGTTTTTTTTTTTTTTTTCCATACTGTAAAGAAAAACTAAACTATGCAGTTACCAAGGAAAACTCAAAGAGGAGTTCGGAGGGGGGAAGGGCTCCATCTATAAAAAGTGTCTTACAAAGTCAAGTCTGGTAATGACAGCGGAGAATACAAAATAAAAAATTTAACTCCAATTCAACTTGCTCACCGCTCAGGACTCTCCTTAAATTGGTTTTCTGTCTGGGAGTGAGAACTGATGAAACCATCTTTCCTTTTCCGTGGCAAATTCCACTTCCATGCACTCTCCCAACTAAACACTCGGACACATGCACGCTGCTTTCTCTCACACACAACACTCCTATAGAGTCTTTGTTGTTCCAGATCTTCCTTTTTGTAACTTCCCTGAACCTCTTGTTTCTTTTTCAGAGGGGGAGACTAATTGTGGATATATGTAAGCACAACATTTTTTCAGTCATAACTGATAAGTTTCTGAAATGCCTTCTGCATTGCAAACATGTGCATCTTAATAGAAAACATTGCTCTTCTCAATCACTAGTTACAGCCTCACAGCAAATATTCCAGGAGGGGGAAAACCTCCTTTTTTTCTCTTTGAAAGACAGATCGGTTTTTTGCTGCTGCTGCTGCTGCTGCTGTTGCTGCTGCTGAACCTCCTCCTCTTCTCCTCCTCCTTCTTGGTATTCTTCTTCCTCCTTTTTTTCTTCCCCCTTTGGAGCAGGGGATAGGAAGAGAATGGGGGTGGGGGTACTTAAATTTTTAAATGATCCATCGAAGCCCCTGCCTTACCTTAAGAAATCGAGCCAGCCATCATGAATGATGGAAGGATCCAGCTGCAGAGAGAGGAAGTTCTCATTGACTGTCCTGACTGGGTTCTTGGTGCTCACATCAAGTAGAATCAGGGTCTTTTCCTTCAAACCTGTAGCTCTGTCTACAGGCAAGGGTCTCCTGTCTCCAGCGTGGAAGGAGAGGGAGAAATGGAGCAACAGAGCCAAGAAGAGAGCCACCAGGGCTAGGCACGAGGGGGGGCAGGAGCTGCTGGAGGACATGGCTTCAGGGAAAGCACAGAGCAACCTCATTAAATCCCCCTGATTTAAACTTCTCTCCCTACTGGTTCTCGATGGTGACTAATTGTCCTTATCTAAAGTGTGTGTCTATCTGACCCCCTCTTCTTGCCCCCCCTATTCTCTTTCGCCCTCACTCGCTCGCTCTTGCTCGCTTGCTCGCATTTTTTTTTTCAGTGTTTTGGTGCTGGTGGAGCGAACTCACGCCCCTAGCCAGCCTTCTCAGCAACTCGTGCCAAGAGTACTGTTCACCAGCACCGCCCCTTTAAGAGATTTGACTGCAGACATTTTTTAACTTTTTAAAGGTAAGGGGTGGGGGAGGGGGGAAAGGGAGGGATGGCCGTTGTGCCCTACTGATTTAACCCTCTAGGGTCAGGAAGCGCCAGTGGGATTAAAACAGTACTATGGCACCATTTTGGGTAAGAGCTTGTTCTCACTTCCTCTCCCCAGGAGGCTCTGGGAAAGGCCCTTTACCTCCTGAGGAGCAGTCTGTCCTACTTCTTAGAGATCATCCACTGTGTGCCTTCCTTTTTGAAGCAGTAAAAGTAAAGGTTATTAAGCTGTAAAGGGTCTTGTGATGGCAACTATAATTTTTGCCAAGGCACAGAAAGCAAAGAGTCCGTGCCAATGTGTGCAGACCTCTGAGCCTTACAAGGCAGCCACACAGAAGCAACATTTCTCCTAAAAAGAATGGGAGACCAAGGTATAAGAGAGGGGACAGAATGACCAGGTCAAAGAGCTTACTATTCAGGATAGTCAAAAAGAATTAGTATGTTTCACGGCCCTGCTGCTTATGTTGGGGAGGGGGTGTCTTGAACTTTCCGTTTATGTTGTTGGCTTTGGCAACCCATTAGGCTGCCTTTGGATGGTCAGGGCACTCTGAGTATATTTGAGCCACTCCTTGGTCAACAACCCTCAGATTTACCCTACCCTCTTGCAGGGAAATTTGTCTTTCTGATGCAGAAGGGGGCTACTAGGGTTTCAAATCCAGCCCCTGGTCAAAATTAAGAGTGTGCCTGCTTGTAACTTCTGGATACAAATTAGACTGGTCTTCCAGATGCATTACAAACCTCTGTTCTTTGTATTCCCACCCTCAATAGCTTGCAGATTATTCTGAGTCCCATCCTGGCACCAGAGAGGAAAAAAATAAAATTCAGACACAATTAGAGGCAATCACACCTGGGCCCTACTTTCAGCTTCTTTCTGAGATATAACAAGCCCTACTTTGGCAGATGAAGAGAGCTACTTTATGAAAATTGGGTATGTAAGAATCCCAAGGAATTCTTTGATAAAACAGATTAAATGACAGTTTAATACAGAGCATAGGTCCCCCTCTCCCAAGGTAGATGCAGTGGGCAGTATCAGAGCTCAGCAAACATTGTAATAGCAACCTATTTTCTGCCCTTCAGCCAAAAAGGATTAACAAATCTAGATAGGCCTGGACTAGATCACCTTCAGCTAACATTCCCTGAGGATAATCTTCCAATCTAAGCAACCAGAAAATGTGGGGGTTGTGCTGCATTGAACTGGGAAGTACTATGAAAACCTTCTAAAAATATGACTACATAGAATGAAGTTAGCAGAGAAATCCCAAATCAGATCACTTAGAGATGTTTTCTAAAACTAAGTTATAACATGAATTAAATATTGGCTTTAGCCTTAATACCTGCTACCTTTACTTCCCTAAATTTCCTAATACCTCTGTGTCCTTAAAGATATGTTTACACTGCTGGGGTATGAATAAGACAGGTGTAAGTTCTAGTACAAAATACTGCAATTTTTAAAAGTATACTGACACTTCCTGGAAATAGTGACAGCCTGGTGATCAAAGACTTCTCTGTATCCCTGGACTCAGATACTTAGTGAGCATTGAAGAATATGAAGGGCACACAGTAATAGTAAATCAAATCCTGTTCAACACACTGAGATCACATACTGCTCTCAAGAAGAATTTTGTTTTCCTAGTTATTAACAGCTTTCTGGCCATCTTCTTCAGGAAGTACTTATTTTGAAAAGTTATTAGTTCACTTACTACATTCAGAATTAAAATAACCTAAATCATCCAGGACAGCCAACGCTACACAGAGAAATCCTGTCTCAGAACGAACAAACAAACAAACAAGCTATTATCTTAACGGAAAGTAAATTTTCCAAAGACCAAAATACCCTTTGGCTTACAAGTAAATGAACTTTGGAAGCCACATTAAGACAACTGCAAAACAGTTTCAAAGAAAGAAAACATACCCACTAGATGTCTATAATTAATATATCTTTCAAAATTATTCAACTAAGGAATATTGAGTATACTGAGAATCTGCTAAATTGTGAGCTTTTGCAATTTTACTGATGATTGTTCTGTAATGTTTTGGTGACCTTGTTACTTTAACTAGTATTTAATGCTAAATGTTTACTAAAAACCTGTATGCAGTAGTAAAACTAAAACCAACAAGACAAACTTACTTAATTGTTGATGCCCACCTTCTCCAGCTGAAATTCAATAGTTTTATCCAGTCTTAGGACATCAGAAGAAAGCAACTAATTGAGTAACACCGTTAAGACTTCCATATAGCCTTGGCTGACTCCAAGATGATCTGATGTGGGAGCCTGTGATCTATCTTGCTATAAACTTCCAGAGCTACTCTTTGTATGTAACCTTTCTTGCTATCATAGCTTTTGTCTTGCTTCTCAATTACCCTGAACATGCTGTAGAGAATCTTTACTCATCTATATAATATGCTGATGCTTCTGGCATATTTTCTCTAGGTGACAACAATCTCCATGTCATTTCTTAGATTACAATTCCCTACAGAATTAACAACTGAACTTCTGTCAAAAACAATCAACTATTAGAAACTAATGCACTAATTTCCATCCTACTTTCACTTCTGTTGCTGTGACGAAATACTTAGACAGAAAGCAATTTAAGGGTTTAAAAAGGTTTATTTTAAAGAGCTTAGTTCATTACTTCAACTTTCAGGCCATCGCTACAGAGAAGTCAAGGCAGTAGGAACTGAAAATATCTAGTCATTTCATATGCACAGTCAAGAGCTCCACTTGCTTTCTCTAGTCTTCTATATGAGAATGAGACAGTGCTTCCCACTTTTAGGCTAGGTCTTCCCACATCAATTAATATGTCAAGACAACCTCCACAGACAAACCCATAAGACAAGTGTTCAAGAAACCCCTCTTTGAGGTGCTCTTCCCAATTGATTCTTGATGACTTCAAGTTGACAATTAAAACTAAACATCACAATGTCTCCTTCAGAACACTATTTGATTTTCTCCTGAATTGTCTGTATGGTTTTCTTTTAATATCCAGAAGATTAAGTCCCCAAAACTATAAGAAACCTTGAATATTAGCCATTTCATGATTTCTAGGCTTTAGGATTTTGAAATAAGCACTAGTCAATGAAAAGAACAGACATATACCTGCCATTTTATTTTTACTAGGAAAGACCTTCCTTTTAAAAAAAAATCTACCAACTGCTTACTAATATTACATTCCAGAAGAATGCCTCAACATCACAAAAATTGAAACATGTCAAAAAGCAAGTATTTTAACTGGAAAAAATAAGCTTTGAGAAAATCACCATATTTTTACTCTTAACATTTTATCCCAGAGAAATAGAAATATGTCAGCAAGTAACACAGTACCAGGACTGGGGACTAAAACTAATATTTCCTGTTTATTGTCAATTCTGTTTTGTTGCATAGATATTAATGCAAGATTTATATGACTTTAATGATTGCCACCTTGACTACATGATTTTCCCCTCACTTTTCCTGTGGGTTTTTTCTCTCAATTTCAGCCTGTCACAAACTCATTAGCTCATATACACCACCTCCTTTTCTTTCTACTAAATAAAGATTAGTTGTCTCTATAACTATTCCTTTTTTATGAAAGTGTTATGCCCAGCCTGTCTAATGCCAATGGGAAAAAGTCTTCCTATTGTAAGGAGAAAGGTACTCACTACTGCACTGTCAGTGTCTGTGTACTTGTGGACAGTGACGATTGCTTGTTACGATTGTGGGGACCATGCACAGAGCTCAGGGGTATACACAGCTTCTCTTGTTACCTTGCGTAACTCTGAGAGGTAGAATAATTCCTTACTAGAAGTGTGTGGGCGCGTGTGTGTGTGTGTGTGTGTGTGTGTGTGTGTGTGTGTAAATGAAGGTTCAAATGATAGGCAATTTCTCAAGCACACAACTAATAAATGGCAACACCCCCCCAGGGACACTTCCCCTAAAGCCTATCACCCACCTTTTATCACCCCACCCTACTTACTAGTGTATATTTGGATGGGGGAATCCTCGAACGAGGAGACCTATATTTAAACTCCTGAATTTGCTGAATCCGGCTTCGTGATACTGAGTAAATTTTTCACTATTTGAACCCTCAGCCACTTAGAATGTAAAATTAACACAATATTGATGAATGCGTAAGTAATTGAGTACATTTACATATGAGGAAAGTGCTCTATAAGTTCTAATATATGAATGTGCTACTAGTTTCCAGTTTTTATTCCCCGTCTTCCATACTTCTTATAAATATAACTGATGGTAAGGGTAAGAACAGTATGTATAAATATAAACATATTTACATAACATATATAAATGTCTTAGTAATAACCTTAAAATAAAGAACCAACTCTAATCTGATGTCAATAAGTGAGGCAATAAAGTGCATACTCCATATTATAGACTCTTATAACAGCTTACATCTAAAGAAGGAAAAGCAACATTGCATTCTATGTATCTTTTTCACTTTTCCACTAGAAGAGAGGAGGGGCCAGGCGAAGATGCTAATGAGAATTGTATATTATCTCATCCTCAAAGACTGCCTGTCCTTCCAGAACAGTGGAGATATACCGGTTACCAAAAGAGGCACTAAAGACAGAAACTGGAAATGATGATATTCCCCATCTGTGGCCAAATCCAATTACCACATACAGTACTCTGCAAAATAGACACAGAGGCACACTGATACTCAGAAGGTCAGGAAAGCTGAAGCAGGCATCGCTGAGTGTGG